AGGAGTGAGGAAGAGAGAGAGAAAAAGGGGGGGGGGGGGGGGGGAAAGTGTAACAAAATGTAACTAGTGTGTGCTCTAGCACTCACACTTTTCTGTAGACTAGGAAGACAGATACCTTGGCAGGAATTTCTGTAGATGTGTAACTACTAGGTGAGTGAATAAATTCTGCCAGTTAACAACAGAAGCATTCCTCTTATTGTCCCTTCCAGAATATTACATTTTAATTCCAGTTGCTCCTTAGATGTGGATATTATGTAGCTTTTAAAAATGATAACTCATCCAACTCGCTTAATCTGAAACATCCCGAATATTCTTGCAAACTTCAACTTTCATGGCTTTAACAGTGTTATTACAGAAAGTTCTTCAGAAAGGTGAATTGAGATGGTTTGTGGACAAACTTAAGATACTTAACTTGCAAAGCCTTATGATCAAGCCTTCAGTAAGGGGTAAAGAAACAGCTGAATTCTGTTAAAAAATTAATTACTTGAAAAGGAAAAGTGTTTTCCTACATCATATAAACTAGTTGATGAAGTTCAGTTGCTGTGTTGTCATTTATTTTCTTTGGAATCAAACAATGTGGCAAGATCTTAGCCATTCTCTGAAAATACAGGGAAAACCTTCATTGCTTCTTCACTACAGTAATGCTTTTCTTATTAAGAAAATATATCTGCAAGGCTAAAGTCACTTGACAGAACAAGAAAAGAGCAAAATTGCTCCAATGAGAAAGTCCAAGAGATTCAGACGGTTTTCTTGGGGGGGAGTGGGGTCAGTAACTCTGTGAATGAACTTGTGATATAAATTTGTTGACGTCTTTAAAAATACATTTTTTTTTTCCAAAACATAGGGGCTTAAACTGTAGAAATTTCCTCTCTTCCTACTTGCCATCCCAAATGATGTGATAGTTCAGATCAGAGTAGTGTGTGTTGCCTAAAGGCCTGAAATGCCTTTCTCCTCTTCTTATGAGTTAGCATCATCCTGAATTCTATCAAAGCGTAAAGAGGATTACTCAAAAAGTCTGTTCGTTTCTGTGAAGGAAATAATAAGTCTCTGCACAAAGGTGGGTATAATATCAAAGCATCAATTTAGCATTTTTAATTTTTATTTTATTTTACTTAGACAGTGGTTGTGATAGACTAAATTCAGTCAGGAAGCAAGCAAGCTGTTTAACTGAAGTGGGCAATTCTTACCTCTTTCACAAAGGATCCTAAATTCAGGTATCTCTGGAAGCAATCTCAGTTTAGCTGCTTCTACAGGGTCTTTGTTGTGCATTGATAATTAGTGCCACAGATATTGCCCAGTCATCTGTGATTCAGTACAGGAAAAGTGAATGTCCAGGAGAAAGGTCAGCTGGAAGATCTACTATGGAGGACTGTTAAGACAATAGGAAAAAGGAAAACATCTTCCATAAATTCAAATTGCCTGAAAACTAAACCTTAATTCATTCACGCTCAGAGATTAATATGCTAGGGAGTATGACTTAGTTTTTCAGTTAGTAGAGAAGTTTGGTGATACCTATAAATCATGACGCATGTGAAGAAAAGGCTTTAAAAAAAATCAGTCAACAAAAATACTTTATTCGTTACAGTGACCTTTCAGCCTCTAGATTTTGAATTCTCAAAGATGGTCTCCTCCTCTGAATAGTAAAGGAAGAGAACAAGATCTTTCACTGACCACATGCCACATGGCTGCTCCAAATCTTAGTATGGCCATTTAGGATGTGTTAAATACATACTACAGGAAGATTCTTCTCAGCTTGAAGCAACAGTCCTTTGTGCCTGTGTTGAGTTGCTGTTCTTAGGCAGTAAAGTTCAGAGTCAAGAACTAGTCATATGAAGCCATTTTCATGTTGTACTGAGTGAGGAAGACTTCAGCTGGTGCTATAAAATGTTGTTGTCAGAAAGAAAGTTAATTGTATAAAAAGTGGAGAAAAAAAAAAAAGAAGTAGTACAACTTTTCAGCTAGCAAAAATTCCGTTCATGCATTAAAAAGCTAAGCCTGAGCTTAAAAGCAAAGTTTGTAACGCTTAAAAAGAATAGGCCACAGGAGCAATTGCAAGTGTTCAGAAGATCAAGAAGAAAAGTACAACGAAGACTTCAGTGAAGATGAACTTCACCTCAATCCCTTCAGAAAATGATAATCATCAGTTTCCATTAACAGAAGCAAACTTTGGATCTCTTGCTTCCTGGAAAGTAGGACATTTGTTTGATGGAAGAATAACAACAGATGAAAAAGTTTGGTGTTTGGCAGCCATGTGGTGTTGCATTCTCCGTTATGATTCAGAGAAATGACAAAAGCAAATCTAGACTTTGGTGTAGTCTTCTACCCCACACATATAGACCCTTCAGTGTAACAAGTTCAGACTTTTCCCTCAAGGTATTTTGCAGTTATCCATCTCCCATCTGATCCAGTTATGTCTCTCTTCAGTTATATCCTCTTTCTGCTGTGCTGAAAGTAGCAGCCGTGGAATATGCACACGCTATTTTTCTTTCTAACAATCTTTGCACTTTTTTTCATATTGTACTCTGTCCTTTTCTTACTTAAGAGACACGCTGTCTATAAAGAATCTGCAAACTAATAACTTCAGCAGTAGATGTAGGCAATGGTTGGAAAAGATTCTGAACCATCAAGATACACACATTAGTAATCCATGTAACAGTGAGGTTACTGTTTCTCTTCTCCTTCCTCTTCCACGTACTTGTTGCCTCTTGTCCTTAATGTTATTTTAATCTCTTTGGGGCAGGGACTGTGTCTTCCTGTGATTAGCGTAGTGGAGCCCCAGCTATGACTGGGGTCTTCGAATGTTACTGACGTGCAAATACAAATACAAAATAAAAACACAAAATGGGCCTCTGTGGATAAGGTACTGCACTGAGAGTGAGGAGAACTGATTTCTGTTCCCAGCGGGGTCAGTGACATGCTGTGAGACACTGTGCAAATCGCTTCAACCCTCTGTGCCTGCATTTCTCCATCAGTAAAGTGAGGATATTTCTTCCTTTATTGATAAAGTGCTTTGAAATCTACAGCATAAAAGCACTATAAAAGAGGTAAGTAGTATTGCTATTAACAATAATACTCAAATATCCAATTCTTGTTCACTACTAGGAGGTTTCTATAGCACTTGGCTGGAGGATGGCACTGTTTAGTATAGTGAATACAGCTTTAGCTTTCTAGTTACTAAAAGGGCCTTAATTGTGAAGATTACTGAGAAAAGGAGAACGCACAAGAAAAATACAATGAAACTTACCATTTGTTATGTTTGCGTATGTTCAAAACAGGAGCACCTGAAGAATGCTGCAGACTGTACCATTTTGGAGCAACATAGCACCTTCTTTTCAACTTTGCATTTTAACATACAGCATCAGTGTGGCAACAGACAAAAGCTTATGTGTATGTTTTTTAGCTTGTAGGCAAAAAAAAATGCCTACCCCATTCTTTTTGCTTTGTGTATTTTCTTACTGGGCGACTTAGCTTGCCACCATTTCCTGGTTCTGCTTCCCTGCTTGTTTTGTCAAAGCTCTTTTTTAACTACCTTTCTATTAAAAGGTGTAGAAGAGACAAACTAAAATCCCTTCAAATTATCCTGAAATCCAGAAGAATGTGTGTTTGGGGGAGGTTATGACATTGAATTAATTATTGTGTATGCAGTCAGTACTAGCCAATTGCGTAACTGTTGGGAGCCACTCTGGAATAATCATTCCCATTTCACAAATGAGATGGGGTCAGATGTTTTCTCCATATGTACTGTACTGCTGATTAAATTAAATGTATATAATTATCTGATGAGAGTCTTTGTCACATTTGTGAACTCAGAGAATTAAGTATGTTCCACTTGCTAAGTCCATTGTATAGAGGAAAATGTCTTGCTATCTCATCCAAGATAGAAAAGAGTTACAGGATGGGATGCTTTATATTTGTCTTTTTTAGTGACTAAATGTGTGAGTAAGTGCTTTCAGAATTAACAAATATTTTAACTTACAGGAGGGGAAGAGATGTGTTTTGTCAGGCAGTAACCTTATTGTCTTAAAATGCCTTATTTATGTCTTAAAATATCAGTGAACTTGATCCCACCTACAGTGTGAAGTTTTATTCTGACAGGACTTTCTGTTGAATAATTTTATATTTTAAATCTTAATGTATTAAATCCTACTTGTAAATTATTGTCTCTCCTTTTTTTTTTTATTTTAATTCTTAAATTTTTAAACTTAGAATCTCTGATTTCTCTCTTCCTGTGCAACTGTGTAAGTCCTGTTAGTATTCATATGCCAGAAGTGTAGACTAAGAAACTCGGAAGAAATGTTGAAGCCTCCAGAAATATCTGCGCTATCTTAGAGGAATCAAGTTGTTATTCGCTGGGGATTTTTAAATACTCTTTATTGTAAAATTCTTACTTATTCTGTCTTTAAAGCAAGAGTATAATAAATAAGAAATATTGACGTGTGTATAATAATACTACAGTATGTGTGGGTCCATCTACATGCACCTCTTTTATCTTTTTAAATCTTATTTTTAAATTAGGGGTTGCAGATAGGTACAAGAGAACTGGAGGAGATGGGAGCCAAGTTCTGTGTTGGCTTACTGCGTTTAAAAAGAGTGGTCTCACCTTTGGAATACAGTCTGACTTCTAGTCTGTTGGATATTGAAAATGAGCTGATTGAGTCAAGCTGTAAAGTGACAAGGTAGTACACATTTTTTGCTTTTACTTTCTTTTCAGACGGCCTCTAAAATGAGGTAACACTTTGCTCAGAAATGTTCTTCCACTTCATCAGAAATAATGTTGATGTGTTATGACGTGCTAGTGTAACAGGAATCTGAGTATATTGGAAACTGGTCTTGATAATTCTGTTTGCTTCAGGCTTTTAGAGAAAACAGTAATACTGAGTAAGACTATAAGATACGTTTGTTGCTGGTATAAAGATTTTCAATTTTAATGTCATCAGGGAGCTGCTTCATCCGGTAAAACTCAGTAGTTGTCAATAATTTTGGAGGGGAAGCTTTTTTTTTTTTTTTTTATTACTAGCTACAATGTTAAAAATGTACTTAGACTTAAATTATAGAAGTTGAAATTTATTGAGAGAATTGTAAGTTTTTCTTCCAACCTCCCTCCCCCAGTACAAATATATAACAACACTTAATAAATTTAAAATGCATGAAGTAATGTCAGGGTCACAAAGAAATATGTGGTATCTCCTCAGTGGCTAGCTTATTAAATTGCCAAATTCTTAAAGCTCTGGATAGGCTTGCGGAAGTATGTTTCCATTCTCCAAGTAATGTTTCGGTATCCACATGCCCACGATAACTGGAGATGCACAAGAAACAGATTAATTCAAATGTACAAGCTTCTTTTCCTGAAAAGCTGGTTAGTGATGAAACGGAGTTACTGGTTTCAGTAAAGCATTAAAGTTAGAGTAGAAAAGAGTAGGGTTTACACATTAGGATATGTTATTGCCTGGTGTACTTAGAACCAAAAATGTAGCAATACTGAGAATCTAAAAAAAATAAATTTACTGTTGTATCTGTGGAACTCAAGTAATGAGGTGCTTGAACCTTAGACTCTAATTAGATGCTAGGTTAATGAGCAGTTAGCTAGTCTGTAGACCATGAATACTAGCAGAGGTGTAGGATAACACCTGTAGTACCCCGTGGAAGAAGGGAGGAGGTCTTCAGTTCCAGTATGAAAGTATGGCACATGAAGTGTCACCAGAATGTGGAGCACAAGGAATAACTGGAACTTGAGAAAATGCTTGGCATATACACTCAACAAAAAATGCACAGTAAAAGGCACTGACAAGTAGAGCATCCTAAGGGTTGTACTTAGAAGTATATGAAAGGTGGCTGCAGTGTGTAGCTGCCTTGGATTCAAGGCACTGGATGGCTGCATCCCCCAGTACCATTTGCTCACGAGTGCAACATTAGTGTGCCAGCTAACTGCTGAGCTGCCACCATCAGATCCTTTTCTGCTTGGATCAGGCTGAATCAGTGATTTCTGGAAAAGACGTGATCAGAAGGTCTCTGGAGTACCCCTCTCCTGCCAGTGAGAAAGTCTTGCTCTGAAGAGTTAGTTGGGGTGGCTCACTGGAAGAGAGTCTAGCAGCAGATGCTGAAAAAAGCAAATAATGGTATAAAACTGTTGTGGTGGTTCTGGGCTGGTATCTCTGCTGCAGACTACACACAGCATTTTAATCACTAAAAATGCCTTGCTGTTGCTTACCATACTACCGCAGCATCGGTACCGAAACACCACCAGCAGCAGAGAGCAGTGTTCATTCAATATTTGTAACGTTATTGCTCAATGTGTCACTGTTAAGTTCTCACTTGTATGGTGTTTGAATTACTGTGAGCCTTGTAGGAGGTAGTTAGACAAGGAAAATAATTCATTAGTGTCCTTGTTTTTGCAGGTATAAAACCATGTTCCAGTAATCTCTATGGTGTGTTTTTAAAAAAAAAAAAAAAAAAAAAAGAGAAGAAACTTTGGATAGTCTTGAACTCTTTCTGTTTTTCCTTGCCTTGGTTGAAAATCCTGAACAAATTAGCCTTTGGAGCAAGCTAATATAACTCTTTGCTTTCCCATAGAAAAACTCGTATTTGGCCTTTTTTGTAGCTTATAGAGCAGCCATGTAGGCCGTTCAGCTTGGGAAATCTGTTTTGTCCCTTGTTACGCTAGGGGCTCAGGTTGCTGATCATCATGTTACTGTGGAAAGCACTTCTCTTATCCCAAGGCTTTTCGATGGCAAAAACATATTCTGTAGGGTTTGTCTCATGGACAGAGGGCAGACTAAGGAAAAGGTTGCATTGCTTATATATTGTTTTATATGTGTGGCCAGAGGTGTGGATGTATATAATCTAAACATAATCTATTCAGGGCTCTTCTCAAAGAGATGAGAATCTTTCTTACTGCCTGATGGAAATTTCATTTGTTTTTCAGAATGAAATGTAAGTTTTGGCAAAAGAACCCAAAGCGTTAACTACTTAGGAAGCATCGTCTAGGTGCTTCAAACAAATTCTGTAGTGCATCCCAAACAGCTATATGTAAAGATAGGGAGCAAGGTGGGCAATGCTTTACACTGCAAAGCTCTTGAGGGACGCCACCCGGTGCAATTCAACCTTTATTACGCAGGAAGTCACGCAACAGCAAATAAAATGAAATACTTTGATTATAATTTTCCTCACAAGGCCATAACCAAAAGGAAGAGAGAAAACTAGGAGATGGAGGAGGAGGAAAGAACATGACAGCTGTCTTTGAGTGTTTAAAGACAGATACAAGGAATCTGTTGTCTCTCCAGGGCAGGCAGGACCATAACTGTTGGCCTTAAATTGCAAGGATGAGTCAGCCTTGACTTTAGGAAAAAAATTCTGTTTGGCAAGCAAAAATGAAGTTCTGGAGTAGATCATCTGAGGAAGTTGCAGTTTCCATAGAAGACAGAGAATAGCGTAGAAAGATTTTAGCCCAGAACGGCAGTGGGGATAGTTGAGTTAGCTTTACACGCAGAGGTAAACAAAGTGGCAGTGTGGAACTTGTTCAGTAAGTAACATGCTAAAAATAATTATCCATAAATATTGAATGGTTTGAGAGTGGCTGTGAATCTCTGTTTGTGAATCTGTTTGTGTTCTGTGTTTGAATCTGTTTGTGAATCTGTTGAGAGGGGTATCTTTAAGTCTGGCCTCAGAAGATGCTGAGTGCTAGCATCTGTCTGAATTGGAGCGCCAAGTTAGATAATCAAGTGTTCCAAAATCACAGTCTGTTATGCAGAACTTTCACAGCCATGTTCCTAATCTCTGAAACCGTTTCTTTGGTGTTTCTGCCACAGTATGCCTCAACAGTTTTGTAAATATACGTTCTTCCGTAAATCTGGGCTGGCAGTAAGGCAGTCTGACTTGACAGCTGTTGTGGATGGCCTTTCAGTGATGGCCCGTCAGTAAGGGCATATGTTCTTCTCCTGCGTTCCTTCTGTCCGTTCGTTTAGCATGCTGAACTGCATAATTTAATATTGACATGTAACACTTTGACTTGTAAGGTTCCTCACATTATTACCCTTGAGCACATCCCCTCAAAAATAGGTTTACTTTTTATTTTGTTTGCAGATAACATTATATGTTAATGAGACTGTATAGTATTTTCCTATTCGGAAGTGTTATATGTTACGTACTTCCTATGCAGAAATGTTACATTATTCTCAATTTTATTAGGACTAAGCTTCAGTGTAAAATCATTCAAAATATAGTAATATTTCAAAGAGCTAGAAGATATGGTTGTAAATGATGAATCCTCAGGGGAGTGTTGGAAGACAGCCACAGATTTCTACGTAGCTGTATATTAATTGCTAGCTCAGATGCACATATGTATTTTTATATTATCTTTTTAGAGAAGGGTGACATCCCAACTCACAGATGAAGTTAGTGGTTGTGCTTTGGAAGAAACTGTGGGCTAACTTTCCTAGTCCATTTATGTTGTTCTTGATGGAGTGGTCTTTGTAACTTCATTTTAAATGTTACTGTTACACTTATGTTAATAATAGATTTCAGTTTAAGTGCAGGACACCTGAAATCTCAGTAAGCATGGAGAAAAAATTGTTACGTAGATGTGGCGTGTACTCACCCAGTTACTGGCAAGGAGTTTACCAAGCTATTTTTAATAATTCATTAAGTCTGTGGATTATCGTAGTAGTAACTGCAATGAAATATTGGACTTCTGCCAAGCTAAATGTATTCTAGCTCTCCTATCCTTATGAAGTTAGAATTTAGGCAACCTCGCAGGCTTTATTTCCTTAAGTTACAAGTATAGTGTGGATGACCTTGCATGCAATGTGTTGTGGTTTTTTTTTTTTTTTTTTGGTTCCTAAACTGTGTTATGATGTGTTATACTGATGTGCTTCTTAACAGCTGCATTTTTCCCTCTGTAAGGAGAATACCACAAATTTCAGATTGTGCCACTTGGATCTGGTACTGTTTACCCCAGTGCAGTGTAACAGCTTGGAATGTTTTTCCCTTTTGTTTGCTTAATTTTTATTGCCGCAGTAAATGCAGCCATACGTGTATTTCACTTTTTTTAAACAATATTTGGTAACAATTTTTCACACATTAATAAAAAATAATCACACTGCAGCTACTCCAAATGTAAGAGAAATTTCATCATTATTAAGATTCCAGTTTCTAAACTGGTAAGCACATGTTGCTTTTGCGCACTATTCTTATATGAAGCATGTGTTTCAAATGCATGTAGAGGAAATACGACAACATAATAAGTTTAGGTAAAAGCCATCCAAATAACAAGTATTTGTCTCGGCTTTTCAACGTCAAGGCTGTTCTGTGTTGTGTGCTGTATTCCAGAAATCAGTTATGCTGAAAAAACAGAGTTGTGTAAGTTGTAACATAACCATAAAAATGCAAAAGATCTGATGACATGCTAAGTAACGCATACCAGATGGTTGGCAAGTTCTATTATCTCCCATTTGTCTTGTGTGGAAAAAGCATTGCACAAAATTTAGTTGACCATTCAATTTTGCTACTGAAATATAAATTTATTTTTCCTTATATTGGAACTCAAAATGGTTCTTGAAAAATCAGGTCATAAATCTTGCTCTTCACTGATATTATTCTAAGGAATCTAGAAAATGTCAGTGCAATATGTCTCAGTTGTATTTGACTTCATCTACATTACTCCAAGATAAAATTACCAGGT